GCCCATCTTTATGTCTCATCAGAGGTACATCTTACTGTGGACAGGCCCATCCATATGTTGCATAATACTACTGATGGGCCTGACCTTATGTTGTGACTCTATTAAATGATACTAGTGATGGGCCTGTCTTTATGTTTCAACAGCAGTACATCTTACTGTTGACAGGCCTGTCTTTATGTTGCAACAGGGGTACAGCTTATTATGAATGGGCCTGGCTAGATGTTGCAACACCATAAATGATATTACTCCTGGGCCCATCCATATGTTGCCAGCTTTGTATTCTAATCATAGATGGGCCCATCCTTATGTTGTGACCCTCTCCACATTATGATAGGCAGGCCTGCCTTGATGTTGCAACAGGGGTGTAACCTACCAGGATGGGCCCATCCATGTCTTACAGCAACTCAGTATACTCAATTGGTCATGGGCCTGTCTAAATGTTTCAACATCCTTACCCACCATGGGCCCTCCCATATATTGTGGTAATACACTTACAGGCCTGTACATATGTTGCTCTCACTTTAGTCCCTCAGGCCTGTCCATGTGTATTGGCTAATCTATTTAGGTGGGCCCATCTCATGGTCTATATAAGTGTTGGTGTTTTGGCACACGGGCTGCCCATGTGTTGTGACTAAATGTGACTACACTATGTGCTGTTTAATGAACTTGCTTTCAAGTACAAGAAAACTATCTTGTACTGTGACAACATGGGTGCTTGCTTTATTGCAGAGAATCCAGTTCCAGATGGTTGATCCAAACATATTGACATCCAGTGGCACTATGTATGCAAATGCATACAAGACAACCTTTTCTCTATCAAATATGTGCCAACAGATCATCAAAAAGCTGATGGTCTTACCAAGTCACTAACATAGCAAGAGTTCAAGACAAATCACTCATTGATTGGTTTGGTTACCCTACCATTCCAGAGCAAGGGGGGATGTTGAACATTTTACATGTGGTAACATCCACTTATTCCACTTATACTGGCATGTCATATGACTGAACATGTCATTATTGCTAACAGTCATTCTATTACATTCCATGAGCATTCTTTTACTTAGTATAGCAGGAGAAAACCCCCTATGGTAGTTGTACTGTACTCAGCTGCACCTGGTCTGTGCACTGACATTCATGTATATATACTCCAGCACTGAGGTGCTATACCCTCAGTTCAAAATCCACACACATTTTGACTTCAGTCTCAACAGACTAAACTCACTACCAAACCTTCTTCAAGCCTATCACCCTTCTGCTAAAAGGCAAGTGTTCTGTCTTGCCTATCCCCATGATTAGTCCTCTGCACAATAGCAAGTCCACAAAGGTTGTTGGATGTCACAGCACATAATGTACCTACATTGTACTGTATGACAGGGCCAGCAGAGGCTGACAATTGGCCATGTCCCATGGGCCAGCAGAGGTCAAGCCCCACATTGAGTCATCCCCCTGCTGTATGGACCAGCCCAGCTTCTATTATCAAATAACACATGAGTAGGCCACAATCAAATTGTCCCTGTAGTACCTGGAGTAGCCTAGTGTGAGATGTCACCTATCCAGTGGCATGCTGCAGCATGTGTAAATCAGCACTGGAAGTTGGCACAAGACCTTGGCATGCTTCAGGATAGCTCAGCAGTGCAGCACCTTGTATTTGGAAGCAGTAGCATCTGACAGATATGGCATTCCACATCATGGCACATTGCAGCATGCAGCATAATTCATGGGGAAGTTGTGGCAATATGTACCATGGCACCTGGTGGCACCTGCTCTGGGAGTCTCTGGAGGGTCACAGCAGCTGGCAGATATTGCTCAGCACACACTGGCAATGTGGCAGCAGCTGGCAGCATGGGAATGGCAAACAGTGGTAAACACCTGACTGCCTTAGGATCCACATCAAGGTTTGATGTGTGGCATGGATGGTTCTGCATACAGCAGCACATGGTTAGATGCAGAAGAATAAACTGGCAGTTCTCAGCAGCCAATGGCATTGACCCAACATACCACAGCACACATCCAGCTTGAGTAGGATTCATGTCAGTGCATGGCATCCAGCACAGATAGTTCTGTATATGGCAGCACACAGCTAGGGTGCTATAGATATGGACATGAAGCATAGCATGAATTGTCAGTATACTGCATATCTTACCACCAGTATAAGATCATAACCTATACTTCATATGATCACCAAACAGTGGCTAGTAATATTACATTGATTTCATAGATTTCATTCAAACTGGGATTGTGCTGATCAAATACTGGACACCTGGGGCATTAAATAAGGACCAATACAATACAATACAGGGTGCCATGGGTGCATTACATGCCTGTGAGAGCCTGCCACACCAATGGAATGCGCATCCAATCACTTCAAGGGACTCCAAGCCAGTTGTGAATATTGTCCCACATGTAAAATGCTAGTGAGCAACAGTTGCCACTCACATCATTCACACCACACCACAAAAGCCAGCCAGAAAAGGCTACAACAGTGCCAGGCTGGTAATCAAATCAAAGACCAAGAGAGGGAATGTCAAGAATGCATTCAGAATAATTGCTGACACTAATGAGCATGTTATACCAGTCAGCACAGGATTGCAGGTCACAATGGAGGGGAGCTGACTGGTTAGCAATCATGGAGATGTTGGTGTAAACCATTGGCCAGTGTCAGAGGACTGCCAACATTTCAGGATCATTCATGGCAGACCACTCAGTCAGCTGCCACATGGCTTGGCAACTGGCATTGTACAAAGGAGGGTGTATAATTGAAAGTGTAGCAGAGAGCATTGCCAATGGTGTTTGGACAGCATGGATCCATTGCTGAGTGGCCAGAGCCACAAGGTCAGCAGATATGGAAGGCTGGTGTGCCAGTGTCTACAAAATTAGCAATGAGTATTTTGAGATGAAGCATGAGGATGACCCTCACAGCATGACCAAGTTGATACTGGGCTGGTGAAAGCTCTAAGCAGCCTGCTGGCAAATGGTGATCCACCAGAAAGTAATTGGGTGATGTTCGCCAGGAACCATGGGATATGCTTCAAGTCAACATATTGGAAAGTGTGGGAATAGCTCCCATCATCTGGTCCTTGATAGGGTTGTGAACTGAGGACAGTAGGATACATCACAATGCCTACCTGCATTGATTGTGACATTGCGCTGGGTAGATACCACAAAGCAATTGCATCCCCTTCACCCAGAATGATGGCAGGAACATCCAAATACCCACTCAGATATGGTGGGTGAGCAGAAAGGATGCAGGCCTCCCAGTTCAAATTGAAACCTGTTTCTCGAGGTGATAAGCTTTCCAACAGCCTGATTAATTCAATGCCAGAGGGAACTGCAATAAATGTTAGTGGGATGCACAGCAGCTCTCTTAAAATGGCATATGGGGATTATGATAGGCCTGGGCCAGTGTTGCCACCATTTGATTGAGCACAATACATGTCTGAATCTCAAGTTTGAGAGGTTGTGGCAGGACAGCAGCAGTGCAACGATGCATCTCATGGAGAACTCAGCAGCACATGTACTCCACAAGCTGGTCAGAAAGTAGATGGTTGGATGGGAATGTGCTGGTACCAGACATTTCTAATGTGATCAGGTTGGGGAAGTTAAGGGAATCCACTGGCAACAAGGAGGATATCATCCAGAGATGCAAGGAATACACACGGCATGGATCCCTCTGGCCGCAGCAATTGTGTGGCCAATGTCGCCAGCAATGGTAGTGACTAATGTGGTAACATTGAACTAAATGTGGCATAGAAGCTCTCTGCAGCAACAAGAACACAGCCTCATCAGCATTTTGGAATGTGGCCTGGCCAGAACACAACCTTGAACAACCATGAATGCCACTGAGGTATACATTACAGAAGATATTAGCCCCTTGCACACGTTCCAATTGGGTTGCACATTTCCAATACTGCTGGCAACATGAATCAAGGTCCAGATGACCAGCTGGTTTCACTAGTGGCATCTTTGAATGGGCAGTTTTCAAGCACCATGCCAGAGATGGTTCAATGGCACTGGCACATCATGGATCTCTGACTGTGAACCTGGTGGATAGCTTTATAGACTGCCAGCCTAAGAATGACATTGACATGATTGGGGCCACAGGGAGAAGAGTACACAAAAGATCCATTGATCAAGGGAATGCCCCTATTCATTTACTGGCATAGATTCTGATAAGGTAAAGCTACCAGCCCCAAAGTAAACTCATTATAGATGTTATGCCTGAGTGCAGTGACTTCTTCAAATGGAATAGGCATGAAGCATGCAAGGGGGAGTCTACAGGCCAAATGTGTCATAACCCCTATGGCTCAGTTATCTCTGAGGTCCGACAAAGGTTTGCTCTTCTGGTGATCTGCTAGGGTAGTCACATGGAGAGGGAACAAGGACAAAAGAGAAGGAAGTTAGCTGAGTTGCAAGCTATTGAAAAACTGAGGATACAAGGTAAAGTACATAGGTTTATATACCCCTAAGTATGAGTACCATAGCAGTCACAATGTGATGCATATCTGCAGTAATCAACAGGACAATCTGTCAAACAAATAAATCAAAAGGAGTCATATGGTGTCATATGATGGGGGTAGACAAGGGGACGAAGGCTATACTGGCTGCATGATCAACACGCAGCAAGGAGCCAGACACTGGAGCTATAGTACAACATCAGAGCAATAAACATGAGTCACATGGAGCATGAAGGAAACATGTTGTCCATCAGAGAGGGTGGTGGGATACTGGATCATGTGGGAGGTGTATGGTTGACAGGTATTGGGAATACCTCTACCATGGGTGATCTGAGGGATCCTTCTAACATACGAACCCCTAGGATGGCAATGACTATGAGGGATGTGACGAGGCACGTGATGCATGTGACCATGAGGAGTCAAAAAAGGCAAGACCCCTGATGCAGGCATAACAATAGATGGTTGATAATATGTACAGAGGCTGTATATTCATTCCTGCATGTTTGACACTGACTCCACCCATTCAACCTGTAAAGCAAGTTTAGATCAGGTAACAGCTTCCAGTGATGACATCTGCTCCTGTGAATGTAAGATTAACTTGGAAAGATATGATAACTCTTGATCAATATCCTTCAAGCCTTCTGTGCACATCATGTGTAGTGCAGCATGTTCAGCAGTGGGTGATGGATGTGAATTAATAAGCAGTGGTAGCAAGATGCTGCCATTCTGATACAACAGGTGAGTTGGAAGTGAGCAAAGGTGTGCTGCCACTTACCGATACTCCTGTGAAAAATTCTGCAGCTTCTGTAATTATGTTCCACAGAGGTCTCCTCTCATATCCCAATTCCACTTTGCTGCTGTTGTTCTGCCATCATGCATGGGACATGGTAGTGGCCAGTTTGACACAGCACTCCTTAATCCTAGTCAGGCAGGGATTCAAGCTTCTGATGAAAGCTAAAATGTTGTGGAGACTCTGATTGCCATCATTCAGGTACATTACCAGCCTGTCAGCTGTGAGTGGCACAATCAGGGTAATGGGATGGCAAGATGCTGTGCCCATCAGATGCTCCATTGTACCCTGTACCACTATCAACCATTGCACCACCACAGGAACAGTGGCTTACTGCTTCTGCCAGGAAATGTTGATACCAACTAGTGTGCTGGTATTCAGACCAATCTGGCTTCTTCATGGTGGTGACAAGGTGATGAAACCTTATTCTCAAGTACTGTACAGCCATGGAGAGTTCAGCCACAGTGAACATTGATGACATGACTTACCAGCATGAAAGATGAGATGTCATACTATATAAGCATTGGCCAACTTTCCCACAGCTTTGTGTGGTGGCATGCATCTGCCATTAAGGCAGCACTCATCAGCAAATGCTCAGCTCACATTCAACTACACCAACCAATATGTGATCCATAACCCTGGCATCATTTGGGAGATCCCAAAAATGATGTTGTTGCAGATAGCTAGTGGTCTCTAGATGGAAATGGTTCACAGAAGACATGCTAATCTGCCATATGTCTGGCATTGCCATGTGGCATAGCATGCCAGCCTGGCCTGTCTCTTTGCCAATGCAGCAGCCTTTCTGCCAGTCCAAAATCCTACCTTGTTTTCAAAGGAGTTTTTAGTCCACTCCTGCTCACATTTCAACAGCTGAACCTCCTCCTTCCATCTGTCCCACAGTGCCCTTGTCCAGAGCCAATTGACCCTGTAGACTAGAGAAAATGATAAGTAAATCTCAGATGCTGCTGCCATGTGATTGCTCCTCTCACATTCTGACATCCAATCATTAGTGGCCATGTCCCTTGGTACATCCATTGTCCAGATCCAAGGTAGGGTATCATCTCTGTGACCTCTGGCATTTGGGTCAGATAGTGCCATGCTGATAATTAGGTCAGAGTCATTCAACTCTTTGTATCACTCCAGGATATCTGGCCCAGCCCCTAACCTGCCCATTTGAATGCAGCACCAGCAGTACACAGTGGCATGACATTGCACTACTGCTTTGGCATTGGCCACCCTTCCCCAGGCATGTGTGGCCATGTGGTAATTACTTCCATGGTGAATGTCAGTTTGAAAGATGACTGCCTTCTCTGCAAGCACAAGCTGCAGTTCATGAAGACAATCATTGGCCTGTCCTTGCTGCAGTTGCAGCTCCATTATTGTCACATACCCCAGGCCAGATCATTCAAAATGATCTTTGCCAACATTGGATGGCAGCAGCAATGCAATGGTTTCTGGATCATGCAGGTTAGATGACCAGCATAGCTTGGCATCCTTGAATCTGTCCCCAAATAGTTTTTTGGCAGTGTCAAAAATGCCATGTATATGGGACTGGAGATGATCATGGCAACATGCAATGGTGAGATTTTGAGCTTCTGTCACTCTTGAGGTGATGTGCTGGCATGCCACTGTAAGCTGGGTTTGTGCTTCCTCTATCTTCAATGCCTTCACAATCCAGGTCACCATACCCTGCAAATGCCCTGGCTGGGGGATGGCCAGTAAATCTATCTTGACTGCCTTTGCAGAGGGAGCTTCAATACCACTCAGCACAAATCCTGTCCAGGTTAACCTTCATTACCTACCTTTCTGCAGCCTGACCTCATATATATCCATGGCCTGTGGCCTTGACAGCCAGTTTTTCAATGCCACTGCCACTTCTTCCCCCCATGATTGGCTGATTGCCAGTGGGACATTACCATTCAAATCAGTAAATCTGCCTTCAACCACTAAATAAGATTCCTCAGCAACCTTGAGTTTCCACTTGAGTCTCCTTGCTGTAGCCTGTTAGCCATGCAACCATGTCTGATACAAGTACTAGACTTATGCATTCTGACCATTTTCAGGAAATTGCTATCATTCATTTGGAAATCAAGTACCTCCTGCTGATGGGGAGTAGCCATGCCTCTAGCAGATGGGGAAATGATATTCAGGGAGGACCACAAGGTTTCCATGATCTCCCCATCCACCTGGCCAGCACCCACAATGAAATTGGGAGCATATTGTGCAAAGCATTCTGTGCAGTGGCCATGAACATGCCACAACCCAATGCCAGGGCAGATCTGCATGCCATCCAGCATGGATATATAGGCATTGGCATGTAGCTGTCATTCTAAACCTTTGCTATACTGGCAGTTAATATCATAGAAATGTATCACTTGCTGGCCAGGGACTGTGCCATGCCTGATGGCATGCACAAGCACATAGTCCATGTTAACCTGCCTGTGATGTCAATGTCAATATTGTCATACATTGTTGCAAGGTTATTCATACTGTTTGCCCTTCTGGAAGTCGACCATTGCATGTGGCACAAAACAGCCATGCCATGCACAGGCACATCCACCTATTCCTGTAGATGCAAGCTGCTGCTGGTTGGCATTTGCTTGATTAACTGCCCAATGATTGCTGCAATCCAAGATCTTGTAGTGTGATCAGTCCATCATGTAATACATTCCTACACATCACCCACCTCAACCACATTTTTAGTGCCACTCAAATATTCCTTGTATGGCTGTGATGTGACCATGTACCCCTTTCCATCCATCAACCAGGCTTTGCTGCCAGCATCCTTTGGATGCATATGCTCTGCCTTGAAATTCCCATCCATGACCAAGCTTCTTGCCAGTGTCCAACTGGATTACACATTGTATAAATGGCTAGCAGTGTTCATGTTATCACTCACTGGGAATAATCCATTTCATCTTCAGGAATGTTGATGCCAGGCTGAGGACATGCTGGACAGAATAACACTAATTCCCCAGGGCTGGCATCTTCTGCACTTGTGTGGGATCCCTGCCATTTCAGTAGTTTCAGGAGCCACCACATCCTAGCAACTCTCAGCAGTTCCCTGTACCTATCCTATCATCCAGCTAAGAGTTGTGTTGCAGTGATACAATTCAACAAATAGGACGCACTGGCACCAGGTGAGGAAAGGCATTGGAGGTTATGTGGTGGAGTTTGCTGTAGAAATTCATGGCTGAGGTACCACATTCCACATTGTCCTGAATGAAGTCATCAAGTACTTGGAAGGTAAATGCAGTCCTTGCAGCCTTTGTGGTAGCAGGAAACATTCCAGCCTGCATCAGCTGTATGTGTGAATCCTCTGCCCCAGGGCATCTACAATACCACACATTGCAGTAGTGTATTCCATTGGTGTGCATGACAATTAGACAGCTTCAGTTCTTTGGGGCCTGCAGATTTGGTGGACAACCATCTTGATCCACATCCTCCCAATCATCTTCCTCCTCAGCTGTGACTTCATCATTTGAACAACCACCAGCTGGGCAGTGCTTCCCACCATGCCCAACATGCAGTACCAAACCAGCCTGAATGGTAAATACAGGAACAACCATCATGATTCAGCTGCTTACCAGCTGCAGGGATGATTTCTCAAAGAATGTGCCATTCCATTGTTCCACCCTGTGGAATGGCCAGGGCTTGTGTTCTGCCCAGCAACACATGGTGCAGAAGACCAGCTGATGGGCACACTCAATGCACTGGAAGATTCCATCCACTCCACACAGGACACAATCCCTTGGCTCAGGTGGGGCCTCCATGTCCAACAGGATGGCTAGATAATGCCATTGGTGTGGCAACCACTGCTGCAGATAACTATTCTACAATTGTGTGACACTGTCATTGCAGGTTTGTGGGGCAATGCAGCATTCCACACACCTGACTTTTCTGAGGTTTAGAAGGTGTTGCAGGCAATACATCATTATTGGAAGGCAGTTGTTCACCCACATCATCCAACAGGCAGTCCAGGTGATCCAGGATAACAGAGCCAGGCTGCACAGGCAGCTGAGTTGCATGGCCTGGCACCCACTTTCTGGGTGCTACTTTTACCATCTTATCCCTATATCCTTGAGTGGTATTCACTCATTGCCAGGTCACCTGGGTCACTCTTGTAGCAGGTCCTGCTGGTGCAATCTTTGACTTCCCCATGGTGAATGTTGCAATGCAGAAGGGTTTTGATCTCAACAAATACATGCAGCCAACACATGCTAGCAAGGTCTGACCACCAACTATGGTAATACTGTCTTAGGATCTGGCACATGATTTCAGTGTTGGCACCTGCACATTGCCTAGAGATCAATGAAATGAGTGAGCACTTGCAAAAAGCCTTGTCCTACATCATGCCCATAGTGACTATACCATCCACAGTGTCTCAATGCACATTGCCCAATTACCAAAGATCTTGGATCCATGCAGTCTGAGAGGCACCACCTTTGCACATGGCTCAGGGATGGAAATCTCATGATTGACTAACAACCTTAGCCATCTTTGGAAACTGTCTGATCAACTGGCATGCAAGAATGGACTAGACATGGAAATGTAACCTTCATTGACATGGGAGAATGCCAGAGAAGTCTATTCTCTTCAACAGACATCATACTAGCTGTCCCCAGAAATTTGCACACAAGCACCTCCATCATCAATGGCATCCAGTGACTACAAAAGTGACTCTTTCTCCAACAACACTGAACCCTCCCCACCACAAAAGGGAACCAGTCTTCAGCCAGCTGAAATTGAGATTCTTGAGGCTGAGCTAGAGTCATGGAAAAATGCCAACTGAAACAAGAGGAGCTCCATCATGTTAACCCTCAGAAACAAGATAAAGAACCTTGATGCAAATGTGACACTGAAAATGCATGAATGGGTTTGGAAGAAGAAGGTGTGCTACACCTGCAATTGATTACCTGGCATGTCCTTACCATTTCCAGGCAATTCAGACTTGGTTGAACAACCATGGCTGGAGCTGTAGTCAATGGGCTCTTATCAAATATGGTGGCAGTTGGACACTGAGGAAGGTGGTCATGCACCATCAAAAGAAATCAATCAACAAAGTGTTGGAAGAAGCCAGTATCAAGCAGGGATCTACAGAAATGATCAAGTCTTATCAGAAGACCGTTGACACCATCATGAAGTCCCTTACTGCCAAGGAGATACAGGAGGCCAAGGCATTGACCAAAGAATGGAATGAGCAGCAGCCACCTCAGGATGTTCAGTCAGAGTACGTACCATTTAGCAATGCTGCCCATCACTCACAAGAAACAGAACTGCAGAGAAGAAAGGCCATAAATATGCTGAGGAATTTGCTAAGGAAATGTGGAAGCAGTGTGGTGCCAGGGTGGTAGTGATGGCAGCATGGGAAGATGCCAATGGAGAGGTGATAGTTGGAGCATGAGGAATTTGTTCTTTGTGCAGATGAGTACTGCCAGATTTTGACCAACTCATCCAGACATGATTTCAATGATGAATTGGGTAATGGCAAATTATTTGAGGAGTTGGATGAGTGCCAGGATAAATTTGTAAAGTATGCACAAATGGCATTTGGGAATGGTGGCACTGATGCCAAGTCACCAGACAAAGATGCTGCTCCACAGTCAAGGCAGAGAAAGAGCAATGGGAAACCTAAAACCATCCCGCTGAACAGTGAAAATGGCACACCATACATCCTGAACATATTGGACATGCAGGCACCAAAGTCGAAGGATATCATGCAGACATTTGTGACATTTCACTATCATATGTATAACAATAGGGGAAATACTGTTCATTGAAATGCATTACAGGGAAGGCCTGCAGGAATTCACAGGTGACTGTTCCATGGAGTGCAATAACAACCAACACTGCACTTTATATTGCACCACAGTTTCTGCCACCTGAGGTTCCCTTCAAAGAGCTGAGTTGACTTACCCAGGATGAGTTGACAGTGATCTTAGAATGGTAGCAAGAGAGAAAAAGTGGCATCCCAACAATATATTCAGCTTCAAGAAGTGGAGAGATGCTGGAGGGTCCCTCTGAATGCTGGTTGCAGAGGCCGACAGCAGTGGAGCAAGGATGTGTGCAAAGCAGGATTTGGATGGGAGACCAGAACACTCAGCAGGTGAAAGGATGATGGATAAAATGATGTGGGGTAGGAAGAAGCTGCAACAGCAAACAGGTATGAAGGAATGCAACTGGAACTTAAATGTGTGGTGATATTATCTAATGGGGAACAAAGTTGTAGGGTCTGATTCTGATGATGAATCCAATCTCTGTCAAATTCTACCAACATTGCTGTCAAACAGAAATGATGGTACAGGCACAAGCATGGTGGATGAAGATGCCACAGAGGCAGTACCATTGCCAGATTCCCAGCAGCAGATTGCTGGATGCCAAGTGGCTGAGGGTAACACCTGCCAGCCAATTGGTAAGCCAGTGGGATCACAACAGCTGAATATTGTTAACATTAATGGCTGACATGTTTCAGCCATTGGCAAGGAACCATCAAATGCCTTGTGGCAGGTTGAGGGCAGCATCACAAGCCCTGTGCAACCTGTGCCTGATGCCTGCTGCATTGATTTGCCTGATTCAGTCCACCTGGCAGATCCTTTGGCAGTGCCAACAACTATCAGGAGAGACCATAAACAGGAAGATTCAAAGTGCAAGTTGCCCATTCCATCAATGAGTCAGTACTTGTGCTGCAGTCACTGAATTGTGGATTCAATTTATCTCTCAATCCTAGTACCCATGCACCAGACCAGCATAGACAATGCGAGGGGTATGCAGCAATAAAAATGGGTGTGGAAGGCACCAAAGTGGCCTGATGATGATGTTCCTACTCCTAGTCCCTCCAAGAAATGTAAGTGATGTCAGCATTTGTATTTTACATGGCCATGGAATGTGATACTACATTTTGACAACCAATGGCTACATTGCAACAAATCCTCATCCAGTTCCAATTCATCCTTGCCATCCCAATCACTGGTCATCAAATCTTGTATATATTGCTGAGTCCTTTCCAGCTGTGCTCTCCTTGCAAGCAACAGGTGAAACCAGATGCTTGATTCCACCAATATATTGCTGTAGTGGTTGTGGGCCACAACAATTGGCCCATCAGTAGTGGTGTTAAGACAGGGCAGGTGCTCATCAGTTGGTCCTGCAAGAAGAACCACAAGCCACCATGCTTTTTCCACTGCTGGATGATTGATATATATGTGAGGGATATCATAAAACAACTTACATGTTGTAATTGGCCCTTCATCATGAAGTCCTTGTATACCCAAGTCACTGGAGAAACATTGCAGCGCTGAAAAGCAAGCTAATACACTTAATACTGGCAACAACAAGAGATGACATGGCACTGACCAGCAGCAGCATTGGTGGCCATAGGCTGGGGGGATGGTTGCCATGATATAGCTGGGATGGGCTGTGGCTTGGAGGCTGCTGTGCCATCTAACCACTCATCCATATATGCATGAACCACAGGAGATGGCACAGTTTGTGGAATTTGTGTGGATGCCAGCAATGATCTAGGTGGGGGTGAGACTGCCAGGGAAGATGTTGGTGAATCCCAGCTAGGCACAATGGTGGCCAAGGATGGCATGGAATGACTTGCTTGCCATGCCTCCCATTGTTGATCAGCAGCAGATGGCTGTGACTCTGGTGAAAGTGGTGGTGAGTCCCAAGATGGTGCAAGCATGCTGAGTGATGGCAGGGAAGGGCCAGCATTTGGCAGCATGGAGGACAATGGTAATCCTAGCTGATGGCCCAAAGCTGTGGCATTCGTGGCTGTGCCAAATGGTAGAAATTCTGGTTCATCTATGACCATATCTGTATTGTTGGCACCTGGCAATACCTGCAGTTTATTACATGGGGAGATGACTGGCAAAGGTTATTGATAGTTGTATCTTATAACAACTACTTACATCAAGTGTCTGGACTTCCTGGCCTCCACCTTACTGACCTTTGCTCCATGATATTCAGCAATCTGTAAAATGTTGATAAGTTGATCGCAATGTCAGATTTGGCTATTTGGGCTTGTTTGTCTACCAGCCAGTGTTGATGCCAGCACAATGGTTCATGAAAATATAAAATGTGGCTGCACTGCCAACAAAATTGTCAACTATCACTTGACTGCACCACTTTCACAATCCCAACACACTGAAGCATCCCAAACTGCCACTGCTGCCACTCCCTCTGTCACTCTCCCACATGAAATAGTCACTAATGCTGCAGACATAGTCATGGCAGAGCTTCTGACACTCCATGACCACAGGAACAAGCAATACTGGAAAAGAGCTGTGCACATCATTTGGGAACAGCTGGTTCATGGCATGCCAATCTATTTATCCTGCAATATTTACAACATTCCAGACCCATGTGTGCCCTTTGGTTGAAACTTTGACAAGATCAGAGATGCAAAGGATGCCAATGTCATGGACCATCCATGGTACCAGATTGGAAGGCCCATTGATAAGGGTAAAGGGCATGCAGTTCCATTAGACCCACTTCCGACACATGACAATGCTGCTGCTGCCACTGAGACTTTGGAAGAACCCCATGGCCAATCAACCAGTCAGGCTGCTCCTACTGGCACTCATCCTAGAAGTCGAAGGCCACAGAAGCATACAAGGTCAGTGGCAGCAAGTGATGCCAATGTTTCAACAGCAACTGCTGGAGCATCCACTTGGTTGCCACTCTTGCAACCCCTGCCACTGGCTATATGCCTGTTGCTGAAGAAGACTAATGCAATAGGTGCATGGAGAAAAATCTGCCATGTGTGGTTAAGCCAGGTTCTGTATATTGGCAGTGTAGCTGCCGGAAGTACAGGTGTAGTATCTTCACCAGAGTGAAGGCTGTGTGGTCACAGTCAAGGTGACCCTGCAGTCACACTGTAACTGAGGCACCTGATGGAGCAGTGGACTGTCCCCAAACCATTGCAGCCACCCATAACCCCAGCTGACACCATCCTCAAAGCCCTTCACCAGGGCCATCAGCTGCAATATCCTCAGAACCCACCACTCCTGTGCAGCAGACCTGGAAGTGGCAGGCATCCACTAGAAGTATGACACCTGCCACTGGCAAGACAACCACCTCAGCCACCCCAAGCTCCCACAGGCAAAGTAAGTCCTCCATTTCTTTCATTCTGCTATTCTTATTTGAGCCTAACATAGTTTTCAATGGAGTGGTCATCATCACTCCATCCTGGTGGCAGTCAGGTCAGCAGACATCAAGCCCAGCATCCCAGGGTGCAGCAACATCCCAAAGCCATCTCACTACCCCATCCCACCCAGTGACCCCCAATGCCACCCCAATGGAGCATATGGAAGAGGAGATTGCAGCATTGTGGCAGCAGCATATGGAGACAGCACATGATCTGCTAGATACCTGCCACAAGCTTGCCAATACCCAGCAGGCCCTTGCAGATACCCAGACCAAGTTTCAGATGCTTTGTGATGTTGCCAAGGCCTTACACCAGTGTCTGTACCCATTGCCACACTCCTCACCCAATGCACCTGGACCCTCCCACCCCTCCCCCATTGGCTTTGCAATTACAAGTCATCAAGCAGTCATTCCCACTGATGGTGCAAGGATACTTGACCTTGCACCCACTATGATGGTCCAGGAGGTTGCGATTGATACCAGCATCCTCCAGAACCTCCCAGGTGATATGCTTTTAGCCCCTTCTACTCTCCTGCTGCCCCCCCACCATTTTGCATACTCATCCACCCCTGGTGTAGGAGAAGCCTGGCCCCCTATCTATGTCTCTTTGGGGGCAGTTGCTGACCATGCCAGTGGGGACAATGCTGATGATGAGGATGCCACTAATTGGATAGATGTAGATTAACATGTCCATAGAATGTACTATTACCATTTCATTGTCGCTATTCCTGAGAATGATCATCCCTGCCTGCTTTTGCTTTACATGGTGCAGATATGGTCTCTCTGGTGTGTGCCATCCCATTTGAGTCTGGCCAGGTGACTGGCCTTGCAATTTATAAATCCACTGGTGCCACTAAGCTAGCAGCACCCTCAAATCATGCATGGTGCTTGCCACATATGTTCTGCACAATTGCAAGGGTTTAACCCTCTGACCCAGGTTGTGGCCATGCAATCATGGCCTATGCCACTGAATGCTGATGCTGCGAGTGAATAGTGCTTGACTTTGCCCATTCCTGTCTATGCCACTCAATGCTGGTGACACCTGACCCCTGCCACTACCATTCCTGTGTATGCCCCCTGATGCCATTGACACCCAACCCTGCTGGCACCTCACATCCATGCCACCAGCCCATTCCCAACTAAGCTGCCACTCATCACCATCTATGCTGCTCAATGCTGTCAACTTCCACCCCCTGCCAGTACCTCATATACATACTGCTACCCCATTCCTGCATATGCCACCCAATGCCATCAACCCCTGCCAGTACCTCATATCCATGCCACCACCCCATTCCTGTCTATGCCACATGATCCTGCCAGCTTCTGCTCCACACTAGTGATTACCACTCCCTGCTTGCTACTGCTGTGTCATGCCAGTGAGTTCTGCTGGCAATGCATGTTGTACTCTCCTCACTACCACACCCTGTCTCTATATGCAAAACTATGCTGATGCATACTAGTGTATGTGGCCATATGCTTTTGCATCTTCACTGGCTTACCACTTACCACACTGTCAGATGCAAGAAAATGCCACTTTTGCCTCAGTTATGCTTAGATGGTCCTTGCCACTGGTACTCACCACTCCAGTAGTCCACCCAGCATTTGGTGCAATGGCATATCATGTTTCCACCATGTGCTGGAAGTTGTTGCTGTGTGCTACTGTATGCCCCAGATGTACTGTGTTGTCATGTTGGGCTGCCCTATGTACACAATGCAGATCTAGTCTGGGCTATGCTATATATGTCCCTGTGACATGATGATATTCTATTTGAAGCCTCTCCATGTGACACCTAAAAGTATAATTGTAGCTGATTCTGGTGTCATGCATGACAATACAATTGTAGCTGATCCTGAATGACACATGACAACATAATCACAGCTGATCCCTATGTTATGGTGACAACTTGTAGGTTGGCTTGACCTCTGCTGGCCCATGTCACATAACCAATTGTCAACCTCCACTGGCCATGTCACACAGCCTAACTAGGTACATGGGCTCATCATGGGACCAAGAGGTAGCTATTTCATATTGATATATGTAGATTGCAGTCTTATCTGATTTTAGTGTTGGGTGTGTCACATGGCATGCAATGCAGCGCTGGCCATGAATGGAAAGCATTGGTGTCCCACTGACTCGGAAATGACCAGTGTACACCACCATTGCAGTAATCATATCAGCGCTCCGGCACCATTGCCTGCGACATGCACATGGCACGACCTGCCAAGTGGTTCCTCGTACATATCTGCCGGCTCAAACGTTCACCGGCTACCAAACATTTCTCGGATGGCGCACCTCGTATATACCGACTGATGTGACAGGGACGCAGTGTAGTATGTACCATGTCGTCCAGGTCCCGCTTCAACTACATGCTCGCTCACTCGCGCGAACTTATCTTGAGAACCTTACTTTCGCAATTAATGATACTTATGTCTGTGAGGAGGCTTAGCCCATGAGTAGTCTGTCCGAGCTTTCACCCACCATACCGCACCCTGTGATCTTGGATACTACTCATCTCCCGTTGCTCAGGATTCCCTCACGTTGCTAGTCTCGCTGTCTCGCCGGGTAGCTGTCGTCTCTTTCCCGAACTTCAGTGAGAATAGTCCGTTAATGTATAACTCCATGTGCCCTCGTCCTCATGCAGAATCAGGAGGTCGCTTATACTTACTGTGTTCGCTCCTTCCTCATCTTCACTTCTTCCCGCACAGACCGCGAAGGGGGCACCGGTTCATCTAAGGTACCTCCCTATCGATTGGCTTTGCGTTCCTCGGAACACTTTGACCACGTCAGCATTCAGTCAGTAGCTGCCTGTTACAAATGGTGACATGGATTCCCAGCTATCACAATCCTGCCGTTTAGCCCTGGTGGCCTGCGAAGATCACTGTCAGCTCACCGAAGTACCTCCGCCTCAAAGCCCAGAAAACCAACAACGTCGCGAGAATGCATTTGGTGTCATCTAACGGGCAGTGTCCCCAGAATCTACATTTATGATCACCCTCTTAGGCACATTCGACTCGGAATCTGTCAGACGTCATCGGACGCTACAGACAGCTACGTGGACTTCGTCCTCTCCACAGTTGATTCATCGAACTCAATGTAGACGCAGCCCAAGAGACATCCATCCGATCCGGGTAATCCCGCTCTCCTTGGCACCCAGTTTCCCTCATTTTAGTACTGGATGGGCTAGGGCTGGGGCAGGTGTGTTCACTTCACCGAGAGGCTTGTTCCTGACACAGCAACATCCTCGCGAAGCAAGAGGATCGGCTTGCAGATCAGAGGATATTTCATGACAGCATTAGTGTTTTATGTTGTGGCGAAAAAAGCCGCATGGCAGATGCAGCATGGAACCACTAGAATTACAGTTCCTCTCTTCACCCTATCAGGCACTGTATCTGCGTTGTTACCGATAACATCTCGGACACACAGAACGGTTTCATTCCATCTCTGCATCCCTTGAATGCTTCTGCAGGTTCGTGAGGCGGATAGCATTAAGGTGTTCAGTTGACTCGGTCCCTGAACCCCGAGATCGAAGATATTGCCGAGTGTTCAGTGATGCTAGAAGCGAGTTGGCATATACTACTTTCGGTGGTGAGTGGGGAGTTTTGTCCATCGCATGTAAAGCATAGAAGACTGACATTTTCCAATGATGAAGTCCAATCCCATTGTCCAATCGTCTTGCTGGTTAACATTCTGAAGAAAGTGTGAGAGCAACAATCATCTTGAAATAAGTCATGTATACCACAGTGAACTCTGCAATGGTGACTAGTCTACCACCAAAAAAGCCGGAATCGAGTCAGGGCCACAAATGAAACTGGTGTGAATCTTACAATGTCAACAAACACCTGTTAACAGCATATACAATAAGTGTTTGGAAGAGACGCTTTGTTCTAAAGGAGGGTAAGTTATGAATGGACCACTGACACCGGACTGGTGTCACCTTGGGAATGCGGAACGAGAGCCACTGTCGCAGAAAAGTACGCAGAGTGATACCGTGATCAGAGCCTCAACTAGTGCAACAATGGCCAAAGCAGGTAACACGGCGTAAAACTAGGAGTGACGGGTGAGCTGGTGCACCAACGACTCTCTTAACGAAAGTACTCTAATCTGTGTAAGGGTGTCAAACTTGAGATTGAGGAACCTATGCGCGGAAATCAGTATTTCTGTGAAAATAGATGGGCGAGTTGGAGTACATGAGAATAACTGTCTCTGCTTCGTCATAAGAACAAGTCCCCTGTAGCGGAAGACAGTACACACCCAAGGCAAACCCTGTTGAAAATTCGTCATGAATGCACCGCGAGCAGAAGAAAAAAAACTCACCAAAGTGAACCACAACTAATAGTATCTATCGCAACCATGTCACCGAACGACAGATTCACCATCATCAACGAATATACTCACAATTGGGGCAGTCACCAACCACTTCACTTGAGGACGACAAACTAAATGCCTATCAGCAATGTCCAGAGAAGCAGTTCTGGCGTGACGTACGGCAATATATTGTGTATGCAAAGAAGCTAGTGACATTCGGCGTATGAACATCAAGTCATAACAGACAGTTACTTACCATTGAACTATACAAACCACGAATACCTGCAGTACGACTAAACCTTGTCATAAACAGTTTTAAGATGGAGAAACGCACATTCACTAGAAGCGAGGCCTAGATGGCGAAAACATTATAAACCAGTGCCTTGTTGAGGTTTCGGCTTGCGTACTGGGAATGACCTGCATGATCTCATCAGTAGGAAGCAGCTATGAAATGGAAAGGAATACGAACCAGACCATATAATCCAAACTCGCCGTAATGCCGTAGTTAGTTATCTGCAGTGGTTGAGCATGATTGTCATAGCAATGTGTATGATGCATCAGTTTCACCAAGTAGTAATACAACATGTGACACACTGATCGACCGTTAGCCATCCATTCACCCGCAAAGACAAAGCGCTCACTGCATGAGAGATGTAGGGTATCAAGGATCCTGACTTCGGATGAGCAGATGTGGCAGGTACCGCAAGACAGCGTAACACACCATATGGCAGCAACAAGGAACTTCATGGCCGAGGCATCTTCAGAGTAGTGCATGAAGTACACATAGGTCTATATAACCAGTAAGTGGAGTGTAAGCCTGAACATCCATAGAAAACGCCCCTGGAGAGTCGTTATGCCATATAACCTTAACAATGAATAAGGAAATCAGGGAGGAGACTTGACAAAATCAAGGAAAGCAATACAAACATGGCAGAGATCAATCCTCCAATGAGAGTAGAACCTATCGCGAGTAAATGAGCGGATAAAACTGCAATTGGCTATGCAAATCTTCACCGAATGCGCCCGGGATGCCCATGTCGATTGGGTAACTTGTATATGGGAAACTCGTTGATGTACGCACTGCGAGGTACAGGTGGCGAAACAATCGCGAGCAGCGAGGGCGTGTTGGTCAGATAAGTAAGTAGTGGAGCAATTCGGTCCTTTTTTATGTAAAGAAAGGAGGCTGCATTCAGCATGGTACGGGGAACTTGCATGGTCCGGGTTACGCCCGTGACGCTTCTTCTTGGGCAGATTAAATCGCCAAAATCTGCTTAATTCACCAAAGACAGCGGAAACCCCAATAATATTGGCCGACTCCGACAATCCGCCCATTTCTGCAATAAGTAAGTACCACTGTTTTTATTTGGTCCCCGGGTCCCAGTGATGGGAAACACACCGAGAACGTGTCCGGGTTTCAGTTAGCCGGTGGAGGGGATAATGCATCATCCTTGGCATGTCCACGATGCGGGCGGGAAAATACTGAATGTCGACAACTCGTGATGCAATACCCCTCACCTACGAACTGCAAGTACGGAGAACGCACGTACAAAAGTCTGGAGTGACTTAGTTCGAGAAATTGGCAGTGGCGGTGAAGGGCACCTGCCAAACTGCGGCGGGCGCACGCACGTGACCGCAGAGGCCGGGAATCCGTGACGTCACGGGCCTCAGCCACCTCGGTGCCACTGCCGGTAGGCTTGGCATGCCGTCACGTGCCGTTGTTTGGGCACCCTGCCCCTCGTTTAGGTTCAGCTTATGTCAGTGTCACAGTGATCACATCTTGCGATCGAGGACTCCCGAAGCTTCCACAGGATCGAAAGCAGTTATGTATGGCAGTATAGGACTACTCTCGAATGGACGTGTGAGTTAGGTAGAACAAACACATAATGGTATTGTGTGCGCACGCGCACACTCAGGATATGATGGGTGGACGAATGATGCTTGCGATTAACGATGTTTGTGTTGTGCGTTGCATACATACGACAAGTAGGCTACTGCACATGTACGAGTATGCGACTAGTGACGTAGTACATCACGAGCTCGGGTGATGCTGGGGTGATAGTATCGACAAGTGAGTGATAGATGTATTAAGAGAAAGAAAACAAAAGAAGAAAAAAAGAACAGGATGGCAATGGTGGAATGACGACCTTGGTGTGATATGCATCAGTGCTGCTCACTGATGCCCGAAGAAGAATTGTTGCAGACTTCTTCACTTGTGAGGCGACGATGGCACTCCCCAGCTCCACAATACTGTTTGCGGGCAGCCAAGATCGCTTTGAGGAGTTTTGTGTGTCCTTGACCAATGGCACTTCCATAGACCTTGAGGAAGGTTTCCTCATCTCCCTGGAATCTGGGGACCGTGTCAGAGGGACTTGGGCGAGTGGTAGAAGTGTGACAAGCTGACTTACTCGTCAAGGAATTCCGTTGCAATGACACGTCGCTGAGAGTACTTCGTATTGAATTGATGGCCACTCTTCCCATTGTAGTAGTGATAAGGCCAGTCCTTGAGTGGAATGTGCAGGTCAAGCCATGGCTCCCCCTCCATCCAGTGGCGTACTATGCCCCTCCAAGAGTCCGACTTTGCAGTCCGTGTCCCATTGGGACGCAAAACGGGCACATCCGGGATGACAACTCCCAGAAGGGAGGTAGAGGCATGGGCCTTGGTCCTCTGGGGTCCAATCTGTGAAGGGAGGGACATCGAGAGCGAAAGATCTGATGGTTGGACAACTTGCGGCATCCTGAACTGTGTTTGAGTCGGTTGTAAATTGAGCGTAGGTAGGTATGGCTGGGCTGCTGGCATGGAAGTGGACTGGATTGCTGGGGGCAACAAAGCCATGGTCTGCGCAAGTGAACGCCGGTGGGCTGACCCATGCGGCTGGTCGGTTGGTGTGATGGAAGTCATAGAATGAACAAGACTCACCCGCTGTTGGCATGGAAGCGGACTGGATCACTGGGGGCAACGACGTTGTGGTCTGTGCAGGTGAATGTTGGTAGGCTGATTCATGTGGCTGGTCAGTTGGTGCGGTAGAAGTCACAGAATCAACGAGGCTCACCTGTTATTGGCATCGCTCGAGCGTTACTGCCAGTAGTGCCCTGGCACAGCACAGGTCCAGAAGGGGCTGAATATGCAGAGGCCAAGGTTAGGGCCTTTACAACCAGGTTGCTCATGTCGCTGAGCTGTTGGTGGATCTCCCTTACATCTACTGAAAGTGAGCACGAGGTTTCCTTCACTTCCTTCACAGTTGTGTGTAGCGCTGCCATGTCAGCTGTTATCGATGCATGCGCCATGTTGAGTGCCTCAGTGGATGCTGGCCGGACGAGTGCAGCTTCGCCTGCGAGTGAACAATCACCTTCACATGGGACTGGTTGCAGCGCTTCGCTGTGGTCGTTTTCGTAGCAATTCAACTCATTGAGGAGGTAGCGCATCAGTGTGTCGCGCTGCGTAGTCGTGTGGAGCGAAAGGTAAGGAGTCGGTTGACTTTACTACACACCCAGATAGGAAGGAGGACGAAGTACTCACATGCTCACCTTCAGCCCATCCCCCCCACCACCGGACCCATGCAAGGGTCCATCGCTGCCCCACTGGCGCAAACATGAAGCGGTATTGCGCTCCACCACGACGGTAGCAATGCATTGTGAACGTTCCGGGAATTCCGGACCCCACCACTGCCTCGTCGATCCATTTTTGGATTGTGTCATGGGAAAGTGGCTCACCCGGTTGCAGCACGCCATTTGTGCCAATTGCGGGGAAAAGGAAATCCTCTTCAGTCATCGGCCGGCTGAGATGGACAAGTTCGACCCATTTCATCCAGGACACGAGGCGCAGGAGGGTGTCACACGCCTTGCCCATATCCGGGCATGGATAAATCTTGTAGCGATTGCCTGGTAAGTACCAATGAATGGAGATCAGATAAAATGGGATATGCACAGATGGATATAAAGACAAACTTCGTAGGTCAGCTTCCCTCATCCCCTTATCTAACTTTCTCTGCCATCCCTTACGGTTTTTTAGGTGGATCTCGAAGTAAGCATTGTGCTCGCTAACGGTGAGGGAGAGTTCCTTGCCTCGAAGGTATTTCATGAACATGCCATCTATGACAGTCTTGTCAAGCTTGACATCCCCGCACTTTAGTTTCAGGAGCTCGTAGTTCCTGTCGTAAGCCGCGATTGAAAACGTTGTTGGTCAAACCGCCTGCCAGGACTTACCTCGTCCAAAGCATAAATGCGACAGCACTAAAGGCAAGGTGTTCGAGGTGCCATGTGACCGTTAGCTTCACTTTCCCGTTCAAGGACTCGCCCGATGGCAGTGCTTTGTAGCCTATCGTCGCAAGACGAATGTATTGGAGTGGGGCATCAAGTGGACAAAATGATTCTGACCAGGCGAGTATCTTATCCATGTATTCCTTCTTCATGGCACCTGAGTGCTTCCGTTCAGCTCCTTCGGAACTAACCTTGTGTCTGATAGATGCCACAACGTCGTCAACTTCTGCCGACAGGACCGGGTTGCCTTCCCATCGGTGATGGGCATCATTGTGATGCCACTTCCCGCGGAACGTTGCACCATCACTATGCCGAAGGTATTAGTCTATGAGCATCAAGGAAAACTGAGCAATCATGCCACGCACGCTTCGTCCCACAACATCTTGAATCCTGCTCGAACACTGTCAATGGTGCTTTGGCTGCTATTTTCTTGGAACCCTCTCCATGAAAGGTAAAGGGCTAATGCTTTATCTGAGCACCTATTTGGCATGCACTCAAATGTGTTCTTAAAATTTGGATCACTGTAGATTTCAGAGTCCTCTCCGGTGTGATTCGGAGTCGGTGGCATCCCCTCCTCTGGAAAATGGCTCTGCAGCCACAAGCGCGCTCGGTGGACATGTCCCGAGTATGCTGCTCTCGTCTTGGCTGCCCGAAGGTGAGTTTCTTTGCCAGCTTCTTTAATTCGGTGGGCGGTATGCAAGCTAGGTAGTTCTTTCGCGGTGGATACCCTTGCCCTCTTTTTGGGCTTGTCTGGGGACGACATGGCATGCTTGGTCCCAGATGCCTTCTGTCTGACCATCGCGACAGGATATTCAGTTACCGGTCATAAACTGATTGGACGCAGCAAGGTGGGAGTTGTGATGTCACAAGTCTAAGGTAGTTATTTGCAATACATGTACTATGAAGTGCAATGAATTCCGAGGACTAGTGTAAATATGGTGCAGCTATAGCTAGATATTTCTAGTTTTGTCCACAAAGTATCGCATTGGCGCCCAGGATTGCACTGAATACACAAGGCATTTGGTTGATTCACCTACATCCGCTAACGGTTTGTGTACTCACAGTTCACCTTGAAGCCGCATTAATGCACAGCGCCCACCGTCGCCCGCGTGATCAATGCATATGTTTCCTCAGTCCAACTATCGAACCAAGCCGTGTTAGCTGATGATCTCACCTCCAGCGGTGTCACGAGCACATCAAATTCCCTTCCTTCTGAGTGTGCTTCAGAAACCATAAATTCCTTCTCGTCCTCCCAAAATCTCCTTGGTACTGGCCTTCCTGCTACGGCGCATCAAATCCCCTCCTGTCCTCGCCAAACCTCATCACCGAGACTGGCACTGCAATCCTCGGTACTGGCCTACTTGCTACAGCACATCAAATCCCCCTCCTTCTGAGTGTGCTTCATAAATCGTAAATCCCCTCCCATCCTCACCAAACCTCATCATCGAGGCTGGCACTGTAATCCTCGGTACTGGTGTTCCTGCTATGGCCATCTCTCAAGAAGTCTATGTTGTGAATGAGGAAACTGTGGTCGCAGCAGGGACATTTGTCCTCCCTGCTTACATTGCTAAGGTATGTGGTTCTGTTAATACGCTGTTACATACACTCATAATCATGTGCCTAGCTTATCAGTGGGCCCGACTGTGACTAGGTCAATGGCCACATCAAACGTGTCAAGACCGCCTTGGAAAACTCGTGTGCCGAACATACTCGGGCTGTAAAAGACTGCATCAACTCTGTTAAACAGGGGACATCATGTCGCTATTGAGCATGTCAAGACCGCCTTGGAAAACTCACGTGCTGAACATACTCGGGCTGTAAAAGACCACATCAACTCTGTTAAACAGATGAGGGACGTCGTGTCGCTATCGAACGTGTCAAGACCGCTTTGGAAAACTCGCATGCCGAGCATACTCAAGGCTGTAAAAGACCACATCTGCTCTGTCAAACAGATAAAGGACGTCATGTCGCTGACGCAGGGGCTCTTTCCCGTTTCGAAGGTTGGGGCGTGGTCTTTTAGTATTTTAGATCTAACGTGATATGATGTATATAGGAAACTGCCTGGTTGGAGGCAGAAGCATTTATCCAGCATCAAAAGGTTGCACTGGCATCCGAGCTCAAGACCGTCCCAGACAGCTGGGTGTGCTACGAGCAACGGCTGAAGGAGAGCGAGCAGGTTGAGCTTGCAAAAACTATCATTGCAAGGATTACATCCGATCTCAGGGACGAGAAGATGCAGGAGGAGATATTGGCCAACGCTGTGGTGGAGCTTGAGTGTAAGTCGATCGCATTGCAAGTTCCTCACAGATTACCTCTGACGATGGACAATAACAGAACTCGTGAAAAGCAAAGCGATCTAGGGAGGTCATGGCTAGCTAGATTACTGATAGAAAATGTAGCACATCAACGCCCTTTTTTTTATCAGACTTATCTTGAGTATTGGTGTAGTCGTCCATGAAATCAGTTTTGCCACCCCATGACCCACTCGCCACAAATCTCGCTAGAAGGGTACAATAAATAAATCTGATCAAGGTACATGCATACCGCCGAGTGTAATGAATGAGGATTTGTGATACTAGTGAAAATACATGCAAGTTTAATTAGGTTTCGCCCTTAAAGTCAACCATGGCACCTCATCCATCGACAGTGTTGACGACCCATTCCAGAGCCAACATTTGTTTACCAAATGGCGGGTGACGCAAACCGCGAATATCTTCGTTTTCGATGATACATTGTATCACATGGGTAGGGCTAGAAGGTGGCCATCATGGAGATGTTGAGTTGTATGTGGGGGGGACAGAGGCTACACTTGCAATAGGCAGGAGCTGTGGAGAATATTTGGTTGAGCGGAGGGGGTGACACTGGTGACATGGGCGAGTATTTTGAAGACAGGAGTGACATTTGTGCAGGGGTTGCAGAGCCGTGAGTAATGTAACTATGCAAGCGAGATAAATTACTTACAAGCTGCAGTGAGGATAGCACGAGAAAGGGATGGTTGGCAAAGCAAATGAAAAGTTGTGCTGGGTGGATCTTGCGAAGTTAGTGACTGGTTTGCTGACGGACAAACGTGACTTACATCTAGGAGAGGCAGGACTAAAGGACGGACTAGTTAGTGAGTATCGCGTAGATATCGGACTGAAGGAAAGCGGTTGCGGACTGTACCGCAGTGACATCGGTGAGAGGGAAGGTGACATAGGTGAATACCGCGGACTGGTTGTGGGTGACGTTGGGGAGTATGTCAGTGATGTAGTCGCTCTGCTGCTGTTGTAGTTAGGGGACGTGGGGCTCAATGGATAGACTAGTTGGTGAATACTGCGGAGGTGTGGGACGGAGGAAGGCGATTGCGGACGTACCATTCGAGACGTCAATGAGAAGGAAGGTGGTGACATGGATGAATAAATACCACAGGCTGGTTGGTGAATTCGATCGAGGGCGGGTGACATTTGTCGGTGATGCAGCCGCTTTGCTGCGTTGTAGTTAGCAGACAAGGGGCCAAAAGGGTGGACTAGTTGGTAAATACCGCAGAGATGTGGGACCGAAGGAGGGCGACTGTGGACTGTACCATAGTGACATCAGTGAGAGGGAAAGTGACATAGGTGAATACCGTGGGTGTCATTGGGGCGGACTGAAACAATTCTAATATTGGCAAAATGTACGTGCTCCATTAAGAGGTGCCCCAGCTAAGACGATGTAAACATGGTTTTGGCTGATGTGGAAAGCTGAAAATTATTCACCAAATGGCGGGTGACACAAACACGAACATCGTCGTCTTTGACGATAGGGTATGTACATGCTCCATCAAGGGATACCCTGGCTAAGATGATGTGAACGCGATTTTTGGTTGGCATAGAGAGCTGAAAATTGCTGATCAAATGGCGGGTGATGCAAACACAAATGAAACTTCGTCATTGACGATAAGGTATGTAGGTGCTCCATCAAGGAGTACCCTGGCTAAGACAATGCGGACACGGTTTTGGGCTAGCAAGGAGAGCTGGAATTTACTTACTAAACGCAGGTGACATCGTCTTCGACGATAGGGTGGACCGTGTTCCATCGGGGAGTACCCCAGCTAAGATGACGTGGATATAGTTTTGGCTGATGCAGAAAGTCGAAAGTTGTTTACTGTGTTGCAAACGTGAACGCGAAGCAAATGCAAACGTGGACATCTTCAATGATAGGGTGCATACATGCTCCATTGGGAGCTAAGACAATGTGGACACAGTTTTGGCCAACGCGGAGAGCCGAAAGCTGTTAATCAAATGGCAGGTGGTGCGAACACAAACATCTTCATCTTCGACAATACAGGATACTGGCTAAGACGGGACAGATATCATGAGGCTTAATATCGATGGAGGAAGCCGAATGGTCTCACAGTGTACGCTTGCCTTTTACACTCTGCTGCCTGAAAAATTGAACAGTTATCCATAGGATGTTGTCTTCCTCCAAGCTCTCTTGCATATATCACATGTTAACCATAACAACCAGACTATAGTCATGAGCAAAGTTGAAGCCATCTCTACCCATGCATTGTAAGGGATGGATTGAAAAGTGCATGTAGCATGCCACTCACGAGCTGATACGATGCTACAAAAAGTGTGTAGTAAGCCTGACTAGCCCTCGTTCATGGGATCATCAATTCCAGCTTCGAGACACGATGTATCCTTAACGTCTGCATTCTCATCTGCAAACTCCACACAAGGCGATGGGGAAGATGGACAGACAGAGCCCAGTGCTAAGTCAGGCCTCGAGTATTCCAACACGACCGCCACAATCTCCATGTCATAGAAAGGATCACCATTGCTCTTCTCACCCGATGTTGCAAGGGGTTGGATTGGAACAGAGAGCTTGTATGTGGGTGAGGACAGCGACTCGTCGAAGTAGCCTGTGACTCGAAGATCACATCGCAGTCTCTCGCCGTCGACATTGCCTGGCAGCTGGGTATGGTGGATGATGATGCGGGGTGGATGTGTTTATAATCGCAGAACTTACCTGTAGAAGTGCACGTACAGTGGCACCAGCACGAGCATCCGCCAATCTGGACTGAATGACGTCCAGTGGCCAGTCAAGGTACTGCGAACAAAATTCTGCCAGGGACGTGAGATCAGGCTGGCGAGACGTCACAACAGGTAATAGGAGGGTGGCCGTTGTCCCGACCACGAGGTAAGAGGTAAAAGATACATTGCCAGGACAGTGGGGTCAGGGAACTCAATGCACTCCTCCACGATGATGCGGGCAAGTTCGTAGTGTCTACGTCCAAGGAACTGTCGAGGATCCGTTCTTAGCACCTCACAGACACTGTCACGCCACTTGGAAACGAAGCTCATGAACTCGGCAAACTGGAGTGCGGTGGCGGCTCGCAAGAGACTCCTTCCAAAGCCGTATTTTGCCAGCCTGACGGGCAACAGTCCATGCCTGCACCACTGATTACCTGTCTACGAATCAAATGAGACTGGATGGCACCTTGGTGCTAGGGATGGCATGTACCTCAGCAGTCCACACTGCTCATCAACAAAATCAGATAGAGGTCCCCCAATTCGAGACCTGACGATGTTTTCTATGTCTTTGGAGGAGTAAACTAGAACGTCTTCGTACCTGGTAGAGTAAGGGGTGCCACTGTCTCTAGAGTTGGTTGGTTGCACCAATATTTGAATGAACAACTCACCTGCGTATAATGCAGGTCGCGCCAAATAGTAGCGTGTTGTTGTACAGTGTCACCACAGCCTCGATTAGTCTGTAGGATTGAAGATTTGTGAGCTCCGTGTCTGCCTCTCCTGGGGCCTGATGAGTCGTGTTAGCACCTGTTGAGATATGACATAGCATACATAGCGAGCAACTTACCATGTGCCAGTTGAAGCCTGAATGCCAGTCAGTAATTCTTGAAAGCGCTGCACTGAGGAGGCACGTGGGAAGGTCGAACCTACGACGTCTTTTCCCCTCTTGAGTTGGGGACAGTCTGGCCCATCAAAGACGAAGTAAGGGTGAAGCAACATGCGAGAGATAGCAGGAAAGACTGACAAAAGATAATATCCACTTTCGTGCGATTGTCCTGTACCAGCTTGACACCATGAAAACACGTTGATTAGTGAATGCATCCATGCACTGGGTGATGTGTCATCTGCGACGGACGAAATAGACCATGGATGATAGTGCTGACCTAGCATTGAATCCTACAGTAAGCAATTGAACACCTCCGTCATCGCCGGATGGGTCAAACAGTTTCAGCAGCCAGCTGGCCGAGCAGTGTAAGGCCAGTGCTGCAGGTGCAAGGAGCTATGTATGGTCAGTATAACACGCTAACAAAACGGCAGAAGAGAGGAAATACTCACAGGCCATAATTCAGAGACCCTCATGTGTGGCAGACTCCGAGGACTAGTTAGGAGGATTGTCGACAGGGGGAGAACGAGACAAAGCCAGTTGACGTAGGCGTAGGCCGACGCCCAGCTGACAAATATGAGATTGGCCACCAGCCAGAGTGCCAGGACCATGGTGCGAGAATGGATGTACTCGATACAGGCAATCTATGTTTTGAAACTGTCAGTGGAGGTGCTGGTGGCTGATGAAAGAGCTCACCGAGGGATGGATCAAGTCAGATCTTGGGGGTGCGCTCCAGCGAGTGAGCGTGCTTGGCCAGGGAATTGAGCTCGATAGTGCTGTGAACTGTTGGATGTAAAACGCTGAAACGCTTGCTGGCAGGTACTCACCACAAACAGCCACTGATGTGGCAACAAAGAGTGGGAGATGTCGGGGGATGACTCGAACGGGCTTTGGAGGGAAGGGAAGGCTCCTGCCAGCCTACACAGAGCGGGGAGATGCGGTAACCCAAACCTGCCCTTACCACTTATGTCAGTGTGGTGTTGATGCCTCGAGGCGACAAACCGGTTCGAGCAGTAAAGTACTGGAAGTAATTATAAAGTGGTGTAAAGTCACTTTACAAGGGGAAATTGGCACGCACATTCGCAACTGGGCTGGCCAAATTGGCAGATGAGCCGGTAGAAAATGCAAACGCACCGATTGGGAAAGACCCTTGAGGTCGCCGTTGAGGTCCTGTGTGCCAGGCGCTGCGACGTGTAGCCATTACGGTATTATGGTAGCAGGGCAAGGGGTGTTGCACGCACGACTAATACACGGACACTCAGTATGCAGCACTCAGCGCTTCAAGTCTCTTCAGCTTCAGCACCCAAAGATGACATATGTATTGTACGACGAACACGGTGGAGCCAGCAGTCTGATTTGAACCAACTTGACAAACACGAATACACTGTACTATACAATGTATTAGACAGCTCTGAGCTCAGTATACTAGCCAAGAACAAGTTTAGCCGAAAACTATCGAGACACGTCGCCAAGTCCATTAATGAGTAATGACAGCTGTCAGCACAGCACAGTAGCACACAAAACTTCCCCCACACCGAACTCATGAGAATGCCCGAAGGCCAAATACTAGCTGCTGATCGCAGAAGTGATCGATTATTGATATAAATTTAACGATGGAGGTCCCGCATCTGCACCCCCTCCGAATCCAAATCACACAGTTATCATACACGATGGACGGGAGGTCCAGCTGTCCAGTCTCTTAAGCGATCAGCGTCGTGCGGGGATGTCCCACTCTCCGTGCGCGGACCCTGATGATAACGTGCCTGACACGTAAGTCCCCCACCACGTGTTGCTTCCGTGTCCCGAGCGCTCCCTAGCGCACCCTAGCGCACCTCCCACGCCACGATCGACGATGCCGGTGCCGTCACGAGGCGTCAGACACTCCGAACGGCCGTCCCCGCCGCCGAGGGCGAGCCGCTGTGGCTGGGAGGCCGATCCAAAATTTGCAGGTCCCACGCACCGCCACCTGCCAATTTTCTGGAATAAACTGACGTAACTTCACTAAGGCAAACAACAGCAAATTCCTCTGGACGAAGCGTGCCCTCGGACCGGGCAGCATCGGATCATTTTATGTCCTCGAGTTTTTCTATTGGCGTTACTCCAGCTTTTGCTTTGTAGAGAGGCCTTATAACGTCATGTATGTAAAGCTTCCAACTGTCATGGTGAAACATTGCTCACGCATTTTGCGTCTGATTTCCTTGTGTCGTGACGACTGAGACGATCATCAAGCGGTAAGTGCAATGACATGCTGTGGTTTCAACATTCTTGTGTCGAGACCAGAACCAGCTGTGGTCTTAAAATCGCTTTCACTGCGCTGTGGTCCAATTCCCCCATCATGCTTGTTCAGAGGTTCCGTGATAAGTTCCTTCCACTGCTGCATGACGTCGGGTGTGGCCTTCAATGTTGCCCCTTTCGAACGTACCTCGGATGGTACTTCGCACCCAGGTTACAGCTAGTGACGCGGTGTACCATGTCTCCCAGGTCAGCTACATGCTGGAATACCCACTCTTCGCTATCTGCCTTCGCAAAGTCGTTAAAATGGGTACTTCGGGAAGTGATAGCGGCCAGCAACCATGGGACCATATCCGTGCTGAAGGTAAGACGCACCGGTTTCTGATATGATTGTGCTTGAGCGGCCAATTAAAAACAGCAGTTGGAACGCAACCGAAGAGACGGCTATGTTTGCAATTGACCGACAAGCACAATCTGCTCGTTCTGAAATACAGAGGAGCGTGTGGTATCCAACACTGGATCCTATGGACCTGCTTTGTTCCCTTTGGATTTGTTCGTCCATCGGGGCATCCTGTCACTGCTAAGCCAAGCGATGTGCAGTCATTGTATAGAGTGAGTTTGCAAAGCTTTGTTATAGATTCATCCCTTTAGGTAGTGGCTGGCTAAGGGAATATATGACATCCTGTGTCACTAGTCCGCACGTTTGATGGCCTCCATATCGACAATTGCGACCTACTCCTTCGCACGTTGGTACTACGATATTAGACACGGCCCCCAAGATGAACCTGAACCCCATGTGCGTGCCGAGCTATTTGCTGGAAGTAAGGACATGGTCATTTCTGCCCAAGCTGGGCATGAACGGTCTCATCGGGGAGTCTGGGAATATGTGGGATGTTCAGGTGTTCTTGAGGATTATGCATCGATTTAGGCTGGGCAAATTAATCGGTACGCCGGCATACTTTCATAGACGTTGAGGCGAGCTCATGTTTGCGTGGTTGCGATCCGTGGAGAATGCGTCCATGGCTAGCACCCGCTTTCAAGCAACGCGGGAGGGAGGTATCGAATGTTCTGCTGTCAATTGACCTACGGCTCCTGTAGCTAAGACTCTGGAACTAGCACTAGCTCGCACCCGAGCAAAATTCATCTATATTTTCACTGCCGACATTCGTTCGCATGTAATACCCCAAGACCCAGGATTACCCGCTGCGGGGGTCTTTTTGCTAGACTGATGGAGAGTTGCCGTTCGAAGGACGGACTAACACGTCTCCCATCCCTACTGCTCGTTTGGTCCTTCCTGCCCGGCAGTATCATGATATTTGAAACATTGGAGCGATTGGACCTCGAGCTGGGAAAGCTTTGCAAGTCGAATGCTGAGTCCGCCTTAGCATTTGGCAGGCCTTGACCCACTGGTTTTGAATGTGATCCTACATCACACAGACAGAAAAGAAGGACGCGACCGACGGGTAAACAAGTGTTTATGGCATACCTGGCCCAGTCCAACTAACGTGTTATGATTTGGAAGGGTAGATGCATCCTCTGAGGCATATCACAGGGCATACTGATCTAGGGCATCGTCTGTGTGATAATATCAGACGGCAGCTAGCTCAGTAAGTCTAACATTTTTCTGCCGTGAGCTCGTGCATTTGGTGCTGATGTCCTTACCTCCTAGCCAAATGGACCGCGAAGTTCAGTTCCCTAATCTCGCGGCCCCTAACCCCTCACCCTGCTGTAGTTGAACAGTGCGAATTGTCTTTGCCGGGTGGAACTTCCTACTATAAAATAGAAAAATACAGCCCCATGGTAGCCTCACGGGGCAAGACATAGGAGCACCTTGCAGGTAGGAGATATTTCATACTACTGCGCAAACCTCGTGGCGAAAACAAAGAAACAAAAAACTGAACGGAGGACTCAGTATGGTATTGTTAGAATTACGTTTTTCCCTCTCTTCACGACGCCGGTAGTTTTTCAACTACAGTTTGGCAGTGACAGAGTCACCTCCCGCACGTCAAGATGCCCTTATCCATCGTTTTCACTCACTCCGTCCTCCGAAAGTTTCGGGAGGCTCGTGAAGTGAACAGCATTCTTGCGTAGATCTAACGCGGCGCCTGAAGCCTTGGATCGAAGGTACTCCCGAGTAATTAGTGATGCTAGGAGTGAGTTAGTATGCACTACTCAACGGTAAGACGCGTGTTCAGTGACATATGTTACGTGCAAGGTATGGAAAACTCACACTTTCCAATGATGAAGTCCAATCCCATCGTCCATGCATCGTGGTGATCAACGTTCTCAAGGAAGTGTGAGACCGACACAGTCGTCAGCACGCAATAGGTTATACCTACCACAATGAGCTCGGCAATGGCGACTAGTCTGCAATGAAAAAGCTTCAATCAAGTCACACTTCTAAATGATAGGAGGTTGAAACTTAAAATGTCAGCAGACATCGGTTAACCGCATAGATGATAAGCGTGTTCAGGAGGCGCTTCGTTCTAAGTGGGCTGGTTAGTAATCAATCATCGATGTGGACTGGAGTCACCTTGGGAATGCAGAACGAGAGCCGTCATAGAAGAGTATACAGAGTGACGCCGTAATCAGAACTTCAGATAGAACTCCGGAGGCCCCACAGGGTATCGCGGCGTGGAACTAGGAATAACGACATATGAGCCAGTGCACCGACATCTATGTTAACAAACATACCCTGATTTGGGTAAGGTTGTTACTGTTGTTATCGATGATCCTATGTATGAAAGGTCAATTTCCAGTATTTTTGTGCAGAGGGCTGGACAGGTTGCCACACATCAGAATAACCGCCTCTGCTTCTCAATTAGAATAGGCCTCTCGTGATGGAAAAGAAAAGGACAAACCCATGCCAAAGCCTGTTGAAATATCTTTATAGATGCCTCTCAAGCTCAATAAAAACCCACCGAAGTGAACTAGCACTGCCGGGATCTGTTGCAACCCTGTCACTGCACGGCATTTTTCTGTCACAAGCGAATGGACTCAAGATTGGAACGACCACCAACCGTTTCGCTTGACGACGGCAAACTGTAAACTAGTCAATGAAAGAATCTCAAGGTGCGAGTCGAATGTGACATACGGCAATATATTACATGTGCGAAGAAACTAGTCCCATTCTCTTTATGAGTGTCGACCGACGAAAGAGCGCCACTTACAAATGAACCACACAAGTCACAAATAACTGAAATAGAAATACAGTTAAATCTTATCGTGAGAGCTTGAGATGAAAGGAACGTACATTCACCAGAAGTGATGCCTAAGTGGAAAAACATTTTAGATTGGGATCCTGTAAAAGTTGGGGTGGGCATACTGGGAATGACCTGCCGTATCTCAGTGGAATGCAGCCATGAAATGGACGCCATACGAACCACACAATATACTCCAAAGTCGTTGGAACGCCGTAATTGATTATCTGCAGTGCCAGTCAAGCCCGATAATCGCAAGGACTAGACATATCAGTTTCACCAAGTAGTGATACAACATATGAGACACTAATCGGCTGTTAACCACGCATGCACTTGAATGCGACAAATACTTGCTGAAAGAGACATGTAGGGTGTCGAGAACCCTGACATCACGTGAGCGGATTTGAAGGCGCCCGAAAGTCGCTCAACTCACCATAAGGTAGCAACCAAGAATTTCATGGCCGAAACATCCTCAGAGTAGTGCATGTAATACACATAAGTCTATATAACTTGTAAGCAGAGCACTAGCCTGGGGATTCCGTTGAAAACCCCCTGGAGAGTCATCGTGCCATATAACCTTGATACGTAACAAGGATATCAGCGCGCGAGACATGACAGAATAAAGCAAGCTATACCTACATAGCAGAGACCGAACCACAGACGAGGGTAGAGCCTATCACGAACAAATGAGCAAGAAAAACCATGTTTGGCTAAGACAGATCTTCACCGAACCCGCCCGGGATGCCCATGTCGTTTCGGTAACTTGTATTTGGCGGACTCGTTGACAAATAAGTAGTGGGGTGTGGGCTCGAGGAAATGATCGAGGGTGGAGAGGAGTATCAGGCTGAAAATGGAGCAAACTGCGCTGTTTTTAAAGGACGGAGCCTGGCTGCATTAAGTATGATCTGGATAGCTTGCAACGCCTAAGCAGCATTTCTTCATAGGTAGACTAAATCGTCGAAATGTCCACCTGATCCACCAGAGATGATGGACACCCCACTGACAATGATCGAATCCGACAATTGGTCCATTTCTGTAGTAGCGCCGCATTTCGTATGGTCGTCAGGATTTCAGGTAATTCATTGTTTGCGAAGAGTCCACGAAATGGGGAAAAAAAATACCGAGTGTCAACGGCTCATGTATTATGATATCTCTTACCTATGAACTGCAAGCCGCAGGAGTGTGAACTACCGTATGAGTCTGCGAAGTTTGCCGGCTTTTCGGTGGTTCTGATCGTGATTCCACATCGCTCCATAACCAAATCCTCGTTGTACAATAAATAGGCTGTATTGGGCAAGGTCTGAGGTCTCAAATCGTTGATCCGATCTGTTATTGGAACGGTCATTGATTCACTAGTGGCTCTGCTGTTAAGTAGCTCAGGTACAAACATACCTTGTCAGGATGCGCCGTATATGATGTGTACACAAAGGTTAGTACAGACGACGACCTGTCGAGCGCCCAGCGCCAAGGGAACTCGAACTACCTGAGTGACAACGACAACTCTCTCCCCCCCGCAACGATTGGTTTTGCTTTTCAATACATACCCCTGGTTGCTAGTGAAACGCAAAACGTGCAGAATAATCATTGCCAGTACCTAGGATAGTTAGGTATCCCTCAATTCCTCTGTTTTGCAGTGGTCTTGCAGCGTTACTCAAAGCGACACCCACCTGTCACGATGAAACGTTGATCGATTCTATATAAAAGTATCGGACAACCGCTGTTCGTGCTAAAACAAAACAATCTTCGGTGTGAAGCATCAGTCTTGTACTGGATCGTGGCTATGTATGCGCATTTCGGTTGTTGCATGATGACTGTGCAGCGAACTAAGGGGATGGAAGTTTGCGCTTGCTTGGGATATGAGGCCCGCAATGGGTGGTGAATGCAGCATCCATGTGTCGATGCCAAACGCAAAACCGAGAGGCTGTATCATATTCCTATATAACACATTCCCAGTACATCACGGAGGTCATCGCCAGCCAAGATAAGGAGAATGGCGTGAAATTCACCTGTTAGACCGCAAATTGTAGCGCGTTGGTAGCTTTACGAGGCGAAAGAGGCATCTTGCATGTGGGTGATATATCCAATATCCAGTGATACCTGGAAACATCGATCTTGTGCAAATAAAATGTACCGAATGGCGAATTCAGGATGAATCTACTGGAATCACACTTCTCCCTCTCTTCGTAATTCCGGGGCAGTCTCGTCGCATGCTGGAATGGTAGCAATATCGATAACAGCCGTTTCGTGCACACAGAAACGCCTTTCTCCATTCGTTGAACTCTGTACATCCCCCGAAAGATGTGGCCGATTTGCGAAGTTGATGGTACTGATGCTTATATCAGTCATAGTTCCTAAGACCTGGGATCGAAGATATTGCCGGGTATTCAGCGACGCTAGAAGGGAGTTGGCGAAAACTATTCAATAGTAAGCAGGGGTAGTATGTCCACCGCTTACGAGGCACAGAAGACTGACGCTTTCCAATAATGAAGTCCAATCCTGTAGCCCATGCCTCCTGGTGATTAATGCTCTGGGGAAAAATTGAGAGTGACATCAGTGCGATACGCCATACGCACCGTGACGAGTTCTGCAATGGTGACTAGTCTACAATGAAAAACCTGAATCAAGTCACGGTCGGAAACGAAAGAGGGATTAAGTTTACAAAGTCAGCAAACACCGGTTAACAGCATAGATGATAAGCGAGTTCAAGAGACGCTTCGTTCTAAGCGGAGTCCATTAGGCGTGAACCACTGATGTAGACTGGAGTCACCTTGGGGATGAGGAGTGTGAGCTAGTCACATACAAAAGCACGCAGAGTGACACCATAATCAAACCCTCAGAGAGCACGACGAGGGTCCCAAAGGGCATTACAGCGGAAGACTAGGAGTAACGGCTCGCGAGCCGGTACACCAATATCTCTGTTAACAAAACGACCTTAATCTGCGTAACAATGCGGGTCTCGTTCTTGGTGAGCCTATAAGGAAAGATTAGTATGCCAATGGAGATGGCTGGACTGATAGGAGTGCATCGAAACAATCATTGCTGCCAGCTGATTAGAGTAGGTCTCACGCGGGGGAAGAACACAAACCCATTTCAAACCCTGTTGAATGTTGTTAGAAACGGCTCGTGAGCGCAACGAAAAAAAAACTCACCAAAGTGAACCAGTATTGATAGTATCTATCATGACAATATCACTAGACAATCCCTCTACCATTACAAAGGAATGTACTCACAATTGGGGCAGTCACCAACCACTTCACTTGAAGGCGACAAACTGGATGCCAATCAAGAAAATCTCCACACGGGTTGAAGTAACATACGGTAATATATTTTATGTGCGAAGAAGCTAGTTATATTCGGTTTATGAGCATTAACTACAGAAGCGAGCCACTTACGATTGAACAACAGTAATCAAAAGTAACTGGAATGCGGTCAAACCCTATCATAAAGGCGTGCAAGATGAAAGAAACGCACATTTACCAGAACCGATGCCTAAGTAGGGAGAACATTCAAAATCAGCGCCTTGTAGAAAATTGGGGTATGCATACTGGGAGTGACCTGCCACATATGATTAGTGGGATGCAGTTTTGAAATGGACTGCATACGAACCACACAATATACTCTAAACTCGTCAGAGTACAATAATTGAGCATGTCGGTTACAAGGAGTAGATGCGTCAGTTTCACCAGATAGTAATACAACATATGACACACTAATCAGCAGTTAGTCACATATCCGCTTGGATGCACTAAGTACTCACTGAACGAAGCATGTATGGTATCAAGTATCCTGGCATCACGTGAGCAGATTGAGCGGGTGTCCCAGCATAGTCCGACTCACCATATGGCAGCAGCCAAAAACTTTATGGTCGAGGCATCCTCAGAACAGTGTGTGTAGTACACATAACTCTACATGACCTGTAAGTGGAGCGGTAGCCTGAACATTCTGTTGAAAGCGCACCTGGAAAGTTGTTATTCCATATAACCTTGACATGGCATAAGAACATCAGAGGGGAGGCGTCACAAAATCAAGCGAAGTAGTTCATACATAGTAGAGACCAAACCCCCGATGAGGGTGGCACCTATCGCGAACGAATTAACAGACAAGCAGGTGCTTGGCTACGACAGGTCTTCACCAAACCCGCCCGGGAGGACCATGTTGTTTGGATAACTTGTATAAGGCGAACTTCCTGCGAAGTATGGAGTCGAGGGACCAGTTGAGCGTGGAGAGGGCGTATTCATCTGAAAACGCGACAACCAAGTCTGACATTTTAAAGGGCGAAGGATCTGTGAAGCCCATATCCATCTATCCGGACATGGACATTGTCCTCATATTGATCCCGCCCGAACATTGAGCACTATGGCTGACGCCGATGCGGTACCATGTTCGATGGAATCATGGGCACAGGTAGTTGGTACAGCATATCGTCGAAGCTGGTCACCTGACCGCGATATCGGAAAGAGTCGGAATGAATGGTCCCTTGTGGCCAAAATCCTCGCATGACTGGAATCGCCTTCGACGATCGCGTCGAGGTCCGAAACGTCGTCGCCGGGCTATCGTCGTCACTTGCTCCGCTATCGCCCTGCCCGGCCTCATTCGTCCTAGCAACTCCCAAGAAAACCGATGCACCCAAGAACGCTCGTAGGAGAGTTCAGCAGAAATGCGGTGCACTCTTGTTTCAGATCCCCCTCAATTACAATTACGGTAAATGCCCAGACACGATAGACAGAAGAACATAATCTTGTGCCCATGAGCGGGCAACCAGGGAACCACATACTCACCGCGTGGACAACCGTTACCGAGGTTCTTATCGGGACCACTCGATTCATGTGACGATGAAATTCACCGTAAATTACATACCCTTCTGTAGCTTCACGACGCAAGATGAGTGTCGTGCACGTAGGTGATACATATATCCAGTGATGATACCTGGGACATGATGACGAATATAAAGATGGAACTACTCGAATCACACCTCCCCCTCTCTTCACAAGGTTGTAGGCTTATCACGGACCGGAACAGCACCAATATTGATAACGGCCGCATTGCGAACCTCGAAATGCCGTTCTTCATCCTTTGAACTCCGTGTATCCTCCGAAAGCTGCTGTAGGTTTGCGAAATGGACAGCATCGACGCGTACGTCTGTCTCGGTACCTGAACCCTGACCCTGGGATCGAAGGTGTTCCCGGGTGTTCAGCGATGCTAGGAGCGAGTTCGCGTATACTAATCAATAGTAAGAAGGGGAATTCTGTGCACGGCATTCAGAAGACCGACGTTTGCCAATGATGAAGTCTAATCCCATTACCCAGGCAGAATAGTTGCTAGCGTCCTGAAGGAAGTGTGAGAGCGTTACAGTTGTCTTGCAACAGGTCACACGCACTACGGAGACCTCTGCAATGGCGACTAGTCTACGACGAAAAGTCAAGCCACAAGTTACAAAGAAAAGAGGGATCAAACTTACAGGGTCAACAAACACCGGTTGACAGCATATATGATAAGCGTGTCCAACATGCGCTTCGTTCTAGGCAGAGCTCGTTAGGTAGGAGCGAACCGCCGACACCAATTGGAGTTACCTTGGGATTGCGGAGCGGGAGCCACTTTCATACAAAAGTATGCAGAGTGCCGCCGTAATCAAAACCTCAGCCAGTACGACGGTGGACACAGCAGGCGTCGCGGAATAAAACTAGGAATGATTACCCGTGAGGCTCTGCACCAATATATCTGTTAACGAAACTACCCTAGCCTGCGAGAGGGAGCTGGTCTCATTATTGATGAGCCTAAAAGCGGAGATTAGTATTTCTGTCAAGATAGTTGAACAAATCGGAGTACATTAAAATAACTGTCGCTGCATCTTGATTAGAATATATGTCTCGGGGTGGAAGAAAAGTACAAACCCATGCCAAACCCTGTCAAAATATCGTTGGAAACACCTCGTGAACGTAATTCCTTAAAAAAACTCACCGAGGTGAGCTATCACTAATAATATCTATCGCGATCCCGTCACTGGATGATACCTCGTCCTTACGAATAAATGTACTCACAATTGGGGCGGTTACCAACCATCTCACTTGACGGCGGCAAACTAAATGTTGATCAACAAAATATCGACAAGCAGGCTAATTGCGACATACGGTAATATATTTTATGTGCGAAGAATCTAGCAACATCGCCACATTCGGTTTATGAGCATCAATCTATAAACGAGTGTCACTTACAGTTGAGCTATAGTGATTACGAGTAACTGGAATACGGTTAAAATGTTATTATAAGGGCTAGTGAGATGAAAGGAACCCACATTCGCAATGAGTGACGCCTAATCAGAGACAACAGTCGAATCGGCGCCATGTAGAAGTTAGATGTGCGTACCGGGAATGACCTGCCATGTCACATCAGCAGGACATGACTTCGAAATGGAAGGCAAACGAACCAAATAACAAACTCCAAACTCAACGGATTGCCGTAATTGGTTATCTGCAGCAGTTGAGCACGAGGGCCACGAGGAAGAAACGCATCAGTCTCACCAGGTAGTAATACAAGATGTGACACACTAAACGCCCGTTAGTTAAGCATTCATATGGACGCACCAAATACTCACTGAATGCGACATGTAACGAATCAAGAACGCTGACTTGGCATGAGCGGATTTGAGACCTGCCGCAAGATAGCCCTAACTCACCATACTGCCGCAACAATAAACTTTATGATCGAGGAATCCGCAGTGTCGTGCATATAATACACATAGGTCTATATAACCAGTAAGCAGATCATGAGTCTGAATATTCTGTATAGAGCGCACCTGGAGAGTCGTTATGCCATATAACCTTTGACATGACACGGAGACATCAGAGGGGAGAGGTAACAGAATCTAGCAAAGTAATACATACATGGCGGAGATCAAACCCCCGACGAGGGTAGCACCTGTGTCGTGAACAAATGAGTAGGTAAGACGGCACTCGACTAGGAAACGTCTTCACCGAACCCGCCCGGGATGCCCATGTCGTCTGGATACGTTGGATACGGGCACTCGTCGACGGACTCGCTGCAGGTTAGTTGTGTACGGAGAGGCGATCAAGGATAACGGGGGAGTATCGAGGTGGCAATGGAGGAGTCCGGTCCATTTTTAAAAGGCGAAGGCAGCGCTAATATGATCGGGAAAACCTGCATCGCCTCAAGCAACGCGTTTCACGAGGTGGACTAAACCGTTAAAGCATCATACATGATGATCCCATCTGGGAACCCACTAACTCCCTAGCACTGCCTTTCCTATGGGCGCCCTTGGCCTCGAGGTACCTTCAGAAAAGATATGGCGTTCTATTATCTCTTACTTACAACTACCGGCTAAGTCAGTGAACTCCGTATGTCCTAGGACTAAGCTGTTGGGCAAGGTTTGCGGTCCAAACATGTTAATCTGATTTGGCGATGGGCGGGTCAGTCGTGTAAGATGATGCAGGCACAACTGCGCATAGAAATGATGTTGATGCCAAATCCATCCATGAACTGGACTCTGAGAGGGATTATATGAATAGTCCCTCACCTCCATGATCGAGAGGGAAGGATTGTTTTCTGTCGAGTCTTCAGTCAGAGTGAGGGAGACCAGCACTTCAAGTTGTCATCAATGGCAATATCAACATTGGCAACATGCATTGTGTATCACCAATGGGCTGCACCTTAGGAGAGCTCCCACATGATGGACAAGTTGATAACTCTCCCCTGTTTTCCCAATGCATAACCTGCAAAAAGGGAGATATCTCATCAATTTTGTGGTGCAATGTACAATCATATCCACCTATCCAAACATTGACCCCACTTCAATGCTAGGTTTCTGACCATCTGTCAAGTCTGGGCCTACTCTGACCAACTCCAATGCTAGACAAGGTCTGGGGAGAGGTGTGGAAGCAAGTCCAACAGAAAGAACTGAACTCTGACTGGCAGAGTGTTGGCAGGAATGAAGTCCACTGATATAAAGGCAGGGCAGAGTGAGGGCATTGGGTTTAGCTTGTGTGCTACCCCCTTGCATGATCTCAGCCCTTGTATTTCAGAGGGAGAGTACAGATGGACAGTTGGAGGTAACTCCAACAGGCAGAAGACAGAGACAGAGGGAGTAAGAACTAAGTCAATATTTGTACTGAGGAACAACAGAGTATGATACATGCTTTTTTATACTGCTATGGAGGTACAGTAACCAGAATTGGAACTGACATATGGAGACCCAGAAATTTTCAAGTAAAACTTCCTAGATGATGAATGAAGGGTAGACAGAGGACATACAAATGGGTAACATAGAACATCCAGAAAAGGAAACAGTCCAGGCACTGGACCATGTGGTGTGTGCACTGTGGAGTACCTGACTGCATGCTGTCAGGGAGGAGTCCAAAGGTAGTCACATGACCCCTCAGAGAATGGTCCATTCAGTCCAGTAGGAGAGCAACACAAGTCCAACAGCTGTCAGAGCAGAGATGGTTTGTAACTGACAGAAGTTGGGCAGAGTTGGTGTGGAGTGAGTGAATGACTGGCAGAAGAGGGTATGGAGTGAGTAAGGACTTAGAGTGAATGCATGGTGTCACACACCAAAGGTGTTTGGTGAGGTGGACATGGATACAGCTGATGAATGGAAATGAAAACCATAGCCCTCATGCAAAGAAGGACAGCCAGAAATGTTGGCAGTCATCCCTCACACAAGAATGAGTCATCAGTGCCAAAGAAAAAGAAAGGGAGTGAGTTAAGTGCTGGTTAAAATTCTTAAGTGCCTGTGTACAGCATTCCAGTTTTTGACATATCTCTGCTGTTTCTGCAGATACTGAGACCATTCCCACACTCACTTGTAGTGCTCAGCCACATGATCCTACCTTCCAAAATTGGAAAGGATTTGCACACTCCACACATTTCTACAGCACTCCCTCCAAAAGATGCTCATTTTGCTAATTCTTCTGATATGGCCACCTCCACATCAATGACTTTGCTTGTCCCCTTTGCTAGGGACCATGGCTACATATATCTACCAGGAGTTCCTACCAGCTTCCATCCTGAAGCATCCTGGTACATCCCACCCTTGTCTGTGCCCTCTCAGCCCATCCAGCTTGGACAGTGTGTTCTTTTAGTCAGTATGACCTCTAGGAGGATGTTCTTTGGTTGCCTCAGGTCTGTCATTCACTTGGAAAGGTCTTATGTGGTCATTTCAGTCTCCAGTCCAAGAAGCATATGGATCCTTCCTCCCTGCTCCCTGCAATGGCTTCATACCAGTCTTGTCCATCATTCTTCCAAGATTGCAACAGCTACAGTATGATACAGCAGAAGACACTCCCCATTCATCCTCTCTTCCAACAGAACCTCATTCACAAAGTTTTTATTTGCTTCACTGAGAGGATGGTTTGGGGGGGAAAGTTGTGATCCCCTATGCTCCTGTCACCCCACAGACCCCCAAAGCTTGACCCCTGTTGACATCTGACTCACCCTGTCCACTTTTGGATGTACTATATTGGCATCAGATCAGTGCTGCCTCTCTGTCATCCCACCTTGGCCTAGAAGCAATCTCTTTGGGATGTGACATGCACAGCCTCCCCCTAATGTGATTCCAGTGTGCTTTCCCAGTTCCTGACATTACTTGACTCATACTTTGATGTTTTGACTGTCTTTGACTCACCTATTGCCAATACCTACCAATCTTTTGACTTTGCTTACTGATCCTTCACCTTTTTGGCTTGCTTATCCTTACCAATGCTTACCAATGCTTTCCAAGACAATTACCCATCACTTACCTTCCTTACTCATCAGTTACCAATCACTTACCAAGTGTTTGCACCTTGTTTTCCATGGGCAACACCCCTGTACTGTATGTAAATCACTGTACTTAGATAGCAAAAAAAAGAAGAAGATGTCAGAGAGCCCCTCTTGCTTGCATTTTATCATCACTCAGTAATTCATTCAGCAGCTTTGATAGTTGAGACTTTATTAAGGGTCCAACTATCATCTACTTCACTTATCCTTGTCTATCATCAATATACTTTGCTCCAAGCCCTCCCTGAGCTCAGTGCAGCTTAGGACATTGAATTAAATTGCCATCCATCCTTCTGTAGGCTGACAGCAGTCTACCCTATCGCTTTCTATCACATTCTTGCTCCCTCTTCATCAGCAGCACCCCCAACCCTCAGCACTCATCTTTGAGTGTTGTAGCTTGCAAAAACCTACCCAAATCAAAGGTTCTACCATCTAGGTACTGCATAGGCACACCACCACTCACTCTTTTTGACTTTTGTGTTGGTTTTGGTTGGTTTTCACCACTGAACCACGCTTTGACTCACAATGGTTATGACAGTGCCCCCCCCTTAGGGCCACATGTACAGGACAGGATCAACACAAATTGAGCATTTGAAATTATTTTAGTGCCTTGAGGAGAATGGCTTTAGCCACAGCAGAGCTTCATCAGAGTTCAAAGTACCACTTAAAAAACACATGTCAGGATACTGAACCTTTGTCCTTTCCTCCCATCATCATGCCTTCCCAGTGCCAGAGCAAAACCCCCCAACCAACCCCTGGTCATGTCTGTGACTATTCCCAAGTTGCAGATGAAGAGCTGGTCGTCCTGACTGATGACTCCACTGACACTGAGTGAGAGAAGTCTGTGGAGAAGGCGTGCTGATGAGAGGAGGCCAAGTGAAGGGAGAAAGAGTGCAAGGCCAAGTGTGGGGAGGCCAAGAGGCAGAAGGTGGAAGAGGAGAGACTGGAGGCAGAGCAGAGGAAGAGAGCAGAGGAGGAAGAGGAAGCTCAAAGGAAGAAGGCAGCAGAGGAGGAGGCAGAAATACAGAGGCAGAGGGCCCAGGCTTGGCAGGACAAGGCTGTGCAGAGGTGAGTGATGGAGTACCATGAGTCAGGCAGAGCTGACTTGCAGCTTCATTTTTCTTAGACTATGTGGCACAGTGTATGACAGTAACACTGCCCAGAGGGTCCCTGGGACCTCTGTGGTGGTCACCATGACCAGGTGGCCCCCCTGTACTTGCTGTGTAGTGAGTCTGACAGTGGGGTAGTGCAAGCCAGGACAAGGCAAGACCAGGGCCTGTGTGCCCTGCCACAAGAAAAAAAAGGTGTGTAGTTGGACAAGGGAGGATGTGGTGGCAGGACCATCATGGAAGAGAGTGGGGACAGGGAGTTCCTGAGGAGAGGAGAAGAAGAGACCATGAGGGAAGGGGAAGAAGAGAGTGATGGAGATGGAAGAGGTAGACAATGAGTGGGAGGTGGGCAGAGAGGAAGATGACCCAGCAACCCTGCTTGAGGGTCCCTCAGGTGCAGGAGTCCACACATGGTGGGCAGAGTGGGAGTGGGAGCAACAGTTGCAGGCCATGGAGAAGCAGGCTGAAGCACATGAGGCTGCTGCTCTGGCCTTTGAAAGGATGGCAGATGCAGTGGAGTGGATGGCAGCAGCTGCAGAGTGGACAGCTGACGAGTGGGCACTGTACTGCACCTGGGCAGAGTGGGCAGAGATGAGGAGGAGGGAGGATGCACAAGAGGCCAGGATGGCTGAGCTCAAGCACACAGGCAGTGGTTGGAAGAGGCCTCTGTCAGAGGTGGCAGAGAGGCAGTGTGAGGAAGTGGACAAAGGTGTGGAGGGGGATAATGAGGAAGAGGAAGAAGTCAGGGGAGAGCCAGAAGGCAGAGAAGGACAGGAGGGTGGTGGAGAGCAAGCAATAGAAGAGTAGAGTAGATTCTTTTTTTTTTTTTTCTCTTTTGTTTTTTGTTTGTATATTTTGTACTACTACACAATAGACTTGTGACATCGCTTGTGATTCTGAGAAGTGAAACAGATAAGTGGAGAAAATTCTAAAGTACTTAAGGTAGTTTGATAAGGGGCAGAGTTGGCCTGCAGAGGAAGGTTACGTGGGTGGAGTACTATGGTGGAGGTTGATATGGGCCAGGTTTGTGCAGATAGCATTTGTGGAAAGCAGAGACTATGTTGGAAGCATGGTCCAGCTCAGTTGCAAGCAACCAAGAGGTTTCTTTGTTGGTGTTCTCATAACCAGCCCAGCAGACTAGATACAAGAGTTGACAGTGGTGGCAATGGCAGTCCATTCTTAGAGTCAAGTATCTCTGACACTTCATACTCAAGGTCACCATTGACACCTACTGGCAGAGGCAGAGGTTGTTGTCAACTTGGGAAAGGGTTAGCCACTGTGGCTTCCAGTTGTGAGACATGGAAGACTG